AGTAGTGGATTGCAGTACCTCACTTCCAACGATGATCATGTCACATAGACAGAAAATTCATAATAAAACACTGAACTTGAACAAAGGTTTTGGACCAAGAGGCCATGATGGAACTAAAGAATACTTAGAATAGTGCACAGCTTAACCCCAACAGAATGTGCATTCTTTCCAAGCACCAACAGAACAATTGCTGGAATAGAGCACCCATAGGCACAAGAGAATCTTGCTTAATTTAGGAAGATCCATGTGTAACCTCATGCTATCTGTCCAGGCCTAAGTGAGTGACAGACAGCCCTGTGTTAGATACCAGCCCAATTCTCACCTTCTCCAACCAGTGAGTACCAAGAGGGATAATGGAGTACCAAAGAAATTGAAGGTCTTTATACTTCCTTTCCTCACATGTCTTTATGCTCTCTCTTTTTGGACTTTCTCATCTAGAAGCAGCTCTTTCCCATCCAATCCTATTCCTGACATTTGATTTTTATTCTTTTTGTTGATTTGTGTTTGTAAGAAAGTGTTTTGTGTAACCCAGGCTGGCATTAAACTCCCTATGTGGCCAAAGAAGATCTAACCTTCCTTCCCCACCTCCCAAGTGCTGGAATTACAAATATGTACCACTAGGTCTGACTTTATATGGTACTCAGGATTGAACTCAGGGCACCCTGCATTCTAGCCAGGCACTCTACTAACTAAGCAACATCCTAGTCTTATGTACTATGTGTGTGAATATGTGTGTGTTTATGTATATACACACTCATAAATATGTATATATACACATGTATACATACATATATGCATGTGCATATGGGTATGTGTATATATATATATATATATATATATATATATATATATATATATATATATATATGCCTGACTCAGAAATGGGCAAATCAGAGACTTGTTATCGAGTCCATGTCTTCTCATTCAACTCATGTGAGACTCACCTCTGAGGCCACGGGACATGAGAACAGATGGGATACCAATAAATACATCTCCAAACAAGTCCAGGAGAAGGCCTTTCTTTTTGACAGGGTCGTCTGTTCGTCCTAAATACTTCTTAGTGGCTGCTGCAATCATATTCTCAGAGATGTTCTGAAATAGATCAGAAAGTAGCCACTCCCACCAGGTAATCAGTGAGGCTCCTGCAGACTGTTAAGACTTCATGGCTCATGAACCACCTGGGCTCTGTGCCAAACCAGGGAGGATTCCCTAGACCCACTTGCAGGATGTCATTAAGCTTAGAAGTCAGGTGTCTGCAAATTGTTGTCCCATTGGCTGTGGTGAAAAAGATCCTCTTGCCTGGTACCACCTGACCTCTTGGAAACTGTTGCCTAGCGAATGCTATCTCTCCAGCTGTTTCTAGAGGAAAAATGCTTTTGTCTGCCTCCTGTGGAGAGAATTACACTTTCAGTATCTCCCCCGATCTCTAAGAGAAAGACACCTTTTGTACCATAGCAAATAACTTAGAACAAGCTATTCCTAGAAAACGAAATGAAAAAGACATGGCTCAGGAGATATTCTAGCCAGAAAATATTTTGATTTGGATTTACAGAACCCAGGATATCTATCCAGTGATCTACAGACAACAGAAGTCTATGCATCAGAAAAGCAGGAAACCTACAGTTTGTAATTGCCACAGGCCCACCTCTCTGATGTGCCTTCTAACTACTCCGTCTGAGGTCTTCGATGTATAAATCTGATGGTCTTTCTTGGCCATGGAATCAATCTTTTTTGAATATAAAGCTCTCCAAATAAATATTTCTCCTGGCAACTTGTCCTGGACCCATGGGGGACTTTGGTGAACAATGAGGGTGAATTTATTACGCTGGGGTGCAAGGTGGGAAGAGTAGAAGAGTAGGAGGTGAACCCCAGTTGCCACGATTGCTTACAGCCGCGGCATGTGTCTGTGATGAATGCAAGCCACTGACTTCTGTTTCCCAACCAACTCCCATGATTCCCTGGAATCTTACAAGGGCAGAGTGGAACTTCCACAAGAGTGAACTGGCCATTTCCTCATCCATTTTGTCTTCAGAGAACAGATCTCCCATCGTCTGTGAAACAAATGGTAAAACATTTGTGAATCCCAGTAAATTAAGAAGAATCCAACAGGCCAATCAAGGGAACCAAATGGAATGAAGGTGCTTGGTGGTAGGGGTGGGGTGTTAACAGATATGAGAGTTTAGGATTCTGAAAAAAAACAAAAAACAAAAAAGGAAGCAAAGGGAACTGCATGAATAAATCTAAGCAATACAGAGGACAGCCAAGTGAGTGTATTTATTACATTGGGAGGCACAACCTTCCTCCAGGCAGTGGAACGTTCAGGCCAGGGTCATGTAGAAGCCAAGGGCTCAGGGACAGAGGACACAGGCCATGCCTCTTCAGACTCAGGGGACAGGGGAAGCAAAACCAAGCATTATATCTGTATGCCTGTATGTCTGTGTCCCTGTGATGCTCCCTGAAGTCCTTCTGCATGAGAGCTGAAGAACTCTGGAATATGCTCACCCTGTCCAAGTTTGCACTCAGAGCTCTGGTCTGGTTTCAGAATGTCTTCTAGCATTGAAAGTCATGTCCCAGGCTGATACCAGGGCCCTAAAACGTCTGCTTAGAGAGCTCAGCCTTACCAGTGGGAAACTTTGTGGTGAGGAGGCAAGGCCCTGAGGCCTTCTTGAGTAGTTTCTTTAGAAACCTTCCAAATATTAATCCCTCCTCTGCCCCATGTGGTGTAAATTGTCACTGCAAAGGGCTTCATCAGGGACTCTCAATGCAAATTTACTTGGAGAGTTTGAAGCTTCTTTGGAATGTAGTCATCTGGGTGCACAATCCTTGATCAGAGCAGGGAGGATGGTGGTTGAGCCTCTGTGGAGTGCATCTAAGAGGTCTGTATGTTCTCACCATCGGGACGAGCCAGCCAAACTCCTGCTTGTTGATGCCCACCATGTAGGGCACAGTGTTGAAATTCTTCTCAGCCAGGATCTCTTCCGGTGCCTTTGGCAGCACCACTCCATCAATGACAGTGCACAGGGAGGTATTGTCCTGGGGAAAATAGAAATACAGCACTTATGAATACCCTACCCTACATTTCATCCATATATCCCCTTATTTGGGGTTTGAGAGTTTGCCAAGCATAAAGACCCTGTGACTATGGCCACAGAAACCCAATGTCCTAAGAACAATGGTTGAATCTAGGAGTCTTCAAGGTCAGTACTGTGAATTGGGGGTCATCAGTGGCAATGTGATGGTGGTAGCGAATTGAGGAGAGGAGAATTCTCACTTATTAATGAGGGCTACTTATTAATAATTCTCCCTTATTAATGCATCTACCTATACATATTTAAACCTGGGAGATTTGGGATATGCTTGGCTTTGAGGTATTGAACTTCTCCTTTGAGTTGCCTAAACTGAGACCACGTTCCTATTTAGAGAAATAAAGACCACATCAAGCACCAAATCCAACAATAGAGAATGCCACCTGGGGGTGATTGCTGTCACTTCGGAAAAGCTGAGTAGTGAAGAGAGCGCGCTCTAGCAGCAGGCAAGAAGAGCCACCTATCTGAAGAAAGGTGACATGCTGGCCACACAAAGTTGGTCTTTTTGATATCTGGAATGGCTTCTTTGCAAGAACACGATAGTCAACTAAAGAAAAGTGTGGACATTTCTAAGCAGTGGGGATGAAATGCATCAAGTGACAGAGGAGTCTGTGTACAGGGAGAATCCCAGGAAAGTCCCTGAGGCCTGGACTTCCGGGACTTCTCTGGGAGAGTATTAACAAAAGGGTCACAGAGTGGGACTCAACATGTGACATATGTTTCTTTACATTTGACTAAAATTCCATTGTGTAACATGCTACATTTTCATTAGCCATCTTTCTGTTGGTAGCCAGACATGTGATTCTGTTTCTTTGAGATTATGAATAGCGAGGTAATAAATGTAGGCATGGGCAGGCAGAAAACAACAAAAACAAATTATTTGAAAACTTTCATAATAAAACCTAATTCATTGTAATATATTATGTAATATGTAATAATGTAGATATAGCTTTAACAGCCCAGGGTCACCTGAGTAGGGAGTCACAATTGGAGAATTGTCTAGATCATATTGGCTTGTGGGCAAGTCTGTGGAGGAATGTTTTGCTTACCTAATGTGGGCAGCACTATTTCCTGGGAACATGTCCTAAGTTATATAATAAACATAGCTGAGCATGAGCCTTGCTGTGAGCCAGCAAGCAGCCTTCCTCCATGGATTCTGCTGTACTGATTCCCTTGGCTGATCAGGCTTGCTTGAGTTCCTGCCATGACTTCCATCAGTGGTGGACTGTGGCCTAGTCACGTAACACAAATACACCCTTTCCTCCACCAGATCGCTTTGGGGCTGAGTATTTTAGTCACAGCAACAGAAAAGAAAGTAAAAGAGAAATACATATGGCACCTTCCTGGCACTCAGGGCTGTTTGTGGGTACTATCTCAGTGGAGGCAAAGGAATTAAAAGCAAAGTCAGGCTTTTAAGAAGGGAAATGGCGTGGTCTAACCTGTATGTATTCTCAAGGAGGACTAGAGTGAGAAGGAAAAGCAGAGGTAGAAAAGTTCCAGAAGACAGATAGTAAGGTGTAGGCAGAAGTTTCTCTCCTACACGCCTGATATGATAGGATAAAAGGGTAAATTATTGACTCTAATTTTTTATCCTATCATATCTGTAAGGACCAGCGTGGACTGGCACCTGGGATTCTAAGGAAGACTCTGACAGTAGCCACTGAGGCCCACGATAAATACTGCTGCTGCTCAGGAATATTGGTAGCTGCACTTTGAGGCTATACGCTTTGCATTTTTGAGTCAGAGAAGCCGGAGGCATCTTTCTGCTTCTATTTATCTCACTCTCCACAACTGGCTTGTCAGTGAGTCCAGTCAGAAAGTCCTTCAGGAGTATCTGCACTCCAGCCATGTCTTATCACTCCACTGCTCGGTCCCTGACCTGACTGACCTACAGGAGGCCCGCACTGTAGTCTTCCTACCCACCCTCCTGTACCTTCCCTGCCCCGAGTCTGCACAGTGCATTTCTACATTTTACTCAGTGTTATGACTTATACCCGGAATACCGACATCTGGGGGGCTGAGGTAGAAGGATCACAAATTTCTAGGCTATGTGGTAGGACCTTGTCTGGAACCAAAACATAGAAACAAGACATTTAAAAAACAGTCCACTGTTCAGAGCTCATCTGCTCATCTATCTCGTGTTGGATCATAATCCAACCTTTTTGGGTGAAACTGCACCTCCCACCTCAGTGACTTCCTCAAGCCTGCTCCTTTCTCACTGCCTCCACCCTAAATCTCTCCTGCTGCAGGAGGGTGGCACAGACCATGGTCTTTTTCAACATTTTATCTATCGTAGCTGTGAATCCACTCGTATCACACAGTAAAACCTGACTGAAAGAGTCTCACTTCATCCTCACAGGGTCTTCAGGGAGTGTCTGTGATCTCCAGGGAGGGAGCCCAGGACAAGACTGGAGATGCTCATGGCTAATGACACCAGACACAGGCCAGTGCTGGGAGGTGGCAGGGCAGGAAAGAGGAGGCTGTGGGCACTGTGAGTTTCCTGGGTCATGTGCAGAGGGTGCTGTCCTCAGAATGGAATGTCTTAGGCTCCTCTTTGTATAACTCCAGCCCTGTACTCCAAAGACTACTGAGACTGTGAACCAGTTCTCTTAGTTTCCTGATAGTGGAGGTTCAGATGCCTTCTCCCATCAGGCCATATTGATATTGAGAACTGTGAATGAGGAGAGCTGGGCCAGGAGGGTAAAGTTGCTGACTGAGAGCACTGTACAGGGAGTCAGCCCTGCCTCTGGTCCATCTGCCTATTTTAACTGGCAAGTGACTTCTCTTGGAGCCTTGGGGAAACCCTTCATTCATAGTTAACTAGAATTTATTGCTGTTAAGATGCAACACCAGTAATCCAGAAAAAGCTCCTTACCTCTTTGGGGTCTCCATTCTCATCCAGGTCAAAAGGATTCTATGAACACAAAGGTAAAGGATGCGTTGAGAACCTTCCCCCCATAAATGATGACCCCTGGAGCTGTGCCCCGGAGTATCAATTTCTCCCACCTGAGTCTTACATGGGGTCCTTGAGTATGAACACAGGGTAGCGCAGGATGGGGAAAGGAGGCAACCTGAAGGGGGCAGGCCCTGGGATCCAGAGTCAGGGCCCCGAAACTCTGGAGAACGTGTTTGCTGCCTATGCCCGTGTTCCTCTCCAATGCCACCCCGACTTCAGCTCTCTGGCCACAATGCTCAGTTTTCCTCAGGAACAACAGCTCAATGAGGGGAAGTGGTAGCCAAGACTGTGTGGGTTCAAGAGGGCTGGAAGTGAAATGGATATCAGGACAGGACCTTGTCCCTTTTATTTAGTCTCACTTCCCGAGTCCAGCCATTAACATGTGATAAAAATATTCAGAAAGAAGGTAAGAAAGAAAAATGGAAAATGAAGGAAGAGAGAGGTTGATACTGAATAATGCCATCACAGCACCTGGATCCAGCCATGTCATGAACCCTCTGCTCCTGAACTTTAGAGTTACTTGAAGATTCTGTTAAGGGGTTACATCTAGGGATATATATGTATATACAACAAATATGTGCATGTAATTACAATTAGTGAACAAAGAGGCCATGCATTTGAGGAGAGCATGGAAGGGTTTAAGAGGAGGAGAAGGAAGGAAGAAAAGTTGCAATTGAATTACAATCTCAAAAATAAACAAAAAGACCGGATTTCTTAGAGATGCATACTAGAGTATGTCAAGAGAATTATCATGATGCTTATTTAAAATGCTTCCTAACAAAAAATAACAAAAAGAGAAAAAATAATGTGTTCAGGAATTCTTGAAGATTATTCTTATCTTGCATAACAAAATCCTGATACCCACAAGCTCAGTGACCCTTATTTCTGCACATCCCTTTCTTTGTGTGTCCTACAATTTCAGTGATTATAACACTGCTTGTTAGCTGTTGGTTCTCTCATATATGGGGGAAGCCATTGCTAGGAACCCTTCATTGTGAGTTGAATCTTTACCACCCAGGGATGCAATATCCATGTGTGTATGTGAACACATGCATGTGTATGTGTGTGTGTGCGTGTGTGGGTGTGTGTGAGATAGGGCAGTGGATAATCATAAAAGCACTTCTTCAAGATCTCAAATAATCTCAGATTGTGCTGGGAGCTTAGTCTCTGAGTTTTCTAGAGTCATCAGATATTCCTGTGTCATCTGGTTGTCCTATGTCACATAGAGAACACCGGGAATATTGGATGGCTTCTGGTATTAGAAATAACTCTTTTAAGTCTTTGAACATCTTGGACTCTTTTCTGAATTTTATGACCAAAGCCCTAAGGCCATATCAGCATAACCCATGGATATTCAAAAAGAACACAATGCTAGAAGCTTGCCCAAGAGACCCAGGAGTGTTTTGGAGTGTCCGTGATTCATATAGAGAAGGCAAGAACTCAGATGACTCCTGGGCTTACATCAACTCCTCTTTCACAAAAGTGGTATTCCTCGTGACCCTGATGCTCTTTCCTCTGGATATTTGTCCTGGTTGGATCCCATGATGTAGACTCTCACAACTGTCCATTAATCAAATCACTTCCCTGAGAAATGATGAGTGTGTTTAATAGATCCCTTCTTTGACAGTTCTCTCAGGCTTAACCTAATAAGTGCAAGGCTGTTTCTCTCTTTGGATTGTTATTTGTGAGAAGGGATGGGGTTTAGTTTATACATTAACTGATTCTCCTTTCACACCTCCTCCATATACTTTGAATGATGGATGGGTGGATGGATGGGTGGAATGAGGGATAGATGGATAGAACTGGTCAAAAAAGTATAAATTGGTAAAGAAACAACCAACTGGATGAAGAAGAAGCCCACATAATGGGAGAGGATTTTTGCCAGCTATACATCTGGGAAAATATCCAAAATGTTCA